GGCCGGCAGCTCGTAATGGTGGAAGAAGTAGATCATGCAATGCTGCGGAGCGCAAAGGGGCGGGGTTACTGCTGCGCCCAGGCCGCAGCCCGGGGGGAGCCTGTCGAAAGGTCCCGTGGCAGGGGCGGGGCCGGGCTGCTCTGACCCGCACCGGGACCGGAAACGCTCCGGATTTAGAGTCACACCTAGCGGCTTTGGGAAGGATTTCTCCCCCTCCCCTGGGGTCCCTGCAGGCCTCTAGCAGCAGCTCCTCACCATGCTGCAGGCATCACCTGCCCTGGGAGCCTGGCATCTGCCCCCCCCGGCCATGGCCCTCCGAGCCCCCCGAGGACACTGGGCCGCTTTCCAGGGGGAGTTGGACCAAGACGCCCTTCGCCCCCAAACTCACTCGAGAACCCCCGGTCATTGTAGGGGCCTGCCCCGGATTTGAGCCCACGCCCTGTGTCCTAGGGGCCTGGCGGTCTCATCCACCGGCTGGCCTCGTGTTTCTGGAAAGCACTGGGAGCTCTGGGGTCCGTGGAGATTTCTTGTGCCCATCTAGCAGCAGCCCCCCAAGCTGTGGGGTGTGGGCAAGAATGGCTTGTGGGGGAGGGAATGTGGCAGTGCCCAGGCCAGCGCCCACGGCGGAAGAAGGGAACCCCACGCCAGTCCCCAGTCTCATCTCTGCTCCTGAAGTGAGCAGGGAGTGACCCTCAAGTTTGGGGCCTGCTGGTCTACACTGGAGCCCAGCGGCTCCGGGGGAATTTCCTTTATTCTGTGTCCACAGTCAGGGCCATGCAAGTGGCGGATCGGTTTCTGACTGGGCCCTGTGTTTCTCTCCAGCTCCCTCCCACAGGCTGAATTAGCACCAAGCCCCAAGTCTGGCTCAAGTCACGGTTCCACCTACGGAGCGGGGAAGGGGCCACGGCTTACCTGGATGAAAAGCCACGAGGTGACCAGAGCCAGGCTGCTGTACTGCCCGTTAAAGCGATAGTGGTACGCATAGAAGGCAAAGTGGTACAAGTAGAAGAACCTGGAAAGGGGAGGGGCAAGACGACCCTGGACTCAGCTAAAGAGAGAACAAAGGTACAGTTCCTCCTCCCCACCCACCCCAGCCGGGGAGGGAGAGGGAATTTCCCCTGCGCAGCGGTGAGATCTCGGGCAATGGCTCCCTTGACTCTGGACACCCGTGTCCATCTAAACACAGAGCAGCACGAACAGCTGGGCAGGGTTTGAATCAGAGCGTGGGGGCGGGGGGAGAACTGGGGCCCAAAGAAGGGAAACAGAAGCCAACGTGGCCCGGTGGCCCAGGAGCACGAAAGCCGGGCACGGAACGCCGGGGGGACAGACACTCTTACCTGAGCCAATGCCTCTTGCTGGTATTGGTGTGGCAACAGATGGCGTCATACTGGTCAGCCAGCCACACAATGAGGATGATGTAGAACGCAGTGGTGGTGTCATTGAAGAACTCGGACATTATGGCCTCCATGCCTGCCGGGCAAACCACCACCAGCATGTCAACTAGCTGTGGGGCCCGGGGAATCCCCGTGACCCGCTCTCCAAATCCGCCTGGGGCAAAGCCCTTCTAGCAAGGGGCCCGGTGGGGCATTTTCTGCATTGCAAAGCAAATGCCGCCAGGCCCAGAGGAGCTGGTGTCTAACAGGAAGCAGCACAAAGATCTCCTTGCTGGCCTGAGTCTTTCCCGACAGCCCAGGAGGCAGGCCAGGAAAGCTGCTCAGAGCTGGGCCTAACGCACACACAGGACGCAGAAGATCACCCCTCCCCGGTGCAGAGCTCAGAGACTCACGCTAACCCCGACAGCTCGAACCGGAGTGGGCAGGTTTCCTTTGGAGACCAGGCCTTGGGAATGCCTTAAAACCGGGTCACTTCTCTGCATGGAGCGACTACTCCCAAGAGAGGGATCCGAGGGGAATCGTGTTCCACGGGCCCCAAAGCAACTTGCCGGGGTAGCTTCCTTTGGGGCCTGCTCAGGGTTTCCCTGACGCGAGGCGCAGACCCAGGTTCTTACCTACTAGAGCCAAAATGACAGTGAGCAAGGGAGCAGCAGGGAATGCAATGGTCATGTTCATTTCCAGCATCTGCAGGAGGTCCACTGCAAGGAGGAAAGCAAACCAGGAAGAGCTCGTGAAGCAGAGTAACACACCACAAAGCCTTGGGCCCTGGCGAGGGGCTGCACAGCTCTGAGGTCGGTGCAGGACACAGTGAGTACAGCTGCCGATATACCCAGGACCACGCCCGAGCAGGCTGCTGCTCTGAAACCCTGGCCCTGGCCAATGCCGACTGCTTCAGAGGAAGATGAATTCTCCCAGAAAGCACCAGGGCTGCACAATCGGGACAGGTTTTTTACAACCGGAGGCCTCAGGCCATGCCCTGAAGCCGGGGACTTGCCCGAAGTTGGCTGAATGCAAGAGGGGAAGTGGTCCCACAAGGGAAGTCAAAGAGCCTATCTTTCTGGGGGTTTACGGCTAAATTCAGGAAGAAGTGGCGGCGGAGGCAATGGAGTGGCATTTATACTAGGACAGATCCTGTCACGAAGCAGCACATGCCACGTGGCCAACGCCGTGCTGGGTCAGTTCCCGCTACGAGTCACTTCTGGGAAACATGATTGTGTTTTCCCTGCTCTGGGACGACGGATGGATACAAAACCCACTGTCTCAAGTAGACTCAACTCCACAAAAGACAGTAAGGCCAGGCAGTGGCAGAAAAACACGATGCAAGCTATGTGGACTCCAGCTACGTAATTCACGCAGGTGTGCCTGCATACCTTGCATCCGTTTTCTGGGGAGGTTGATGGGAGAAACACTCCTGTTGACTTCCCTTAATCCTTGCATGTACTGCAGCTGAGGGGGCATGCTCAGCATTCGATTTAGCGGACTTCCCTAGACCTGCTAAATCCAACCCTGGAAGATCGATTGCCATAGTGGATCCTCCAGCAACTGGAGACAAGGCATAAGACCCTTCCCTGCCCTTCACCAGGGGAGGGCGTCATCCCCAAAGAAATGGCTCGGGGCAGGGAGGTTTAGAAGCACTTACCAATGAAGACAAAGATCTGGTGGTGAGAGTATCGCAACAGCATTGAGACTGACAGAGTCTGCAAACACAAAACAGACCAGGGTTAGAACGAGACTGCTCCAGGACGCTGGTCTTTCCTAGAGGGTCGTCCATGGGAACCTCCTCTGGGGGATTCTGCAGGCAGTGGTTCAGACTGGGCTCCAGAGGCCCCCGAGACACTGGTATAAAGGCTCAGCTGAACTGACTCAAAATCCCTCCTTGTAATCCAGTAACTGACGCGAGATTTTTACCAAGATGGCACAATCCCGCTGGAAGGATCTGAAGGGCTGGAAAACACGCAAGGGTCTGGAAACATCTAGCAAACCTCACATGGGGGTAGATGGAAGATGCTGTTTGGTCACTGGCATTCGCTGTCCTGGCCCTTGAGAAAGCAAGCGGGACTATGGGGGCTGAGCCAAGGTCTGTCTTGCTGGGATCCGCACGCTGAAGGGCAGAAGGAATTGAAGGCTAAGCCTCAGTCTGGAGGCAGGGAGTTCAGAACTTTGCCCACAGAGAGGTGATGGCTAGAGACCTGAGACAGACCATAGCGGGGTACAGAGGTGCACAGTTAACCCCCAAACTGTGACAGTCACGTGGGAGGCCCGTAGGCCTATGATCACATTAAATGACATTAACATTTACGCTAACTAAGAATTTGCGGGCTTGTGTGGATTTTTCTTAGCACCTTAAAGCCCAAGACTGTGCTGCACATTTCATTGTTTTGAGTGGCAACTCTTTGGCACGTTACAAAGAGGAATGAAGCCGCACGCTGCTCCTGCGGAAGAGATGGCAAGTAGGCTAGCCGTAGGGGTGCAGTTCTGACTAGGGATGTTACACTGAATCAACTAATCAACTAGTCAATGGGTTTTCCATCGACTAGTCCGCAGTTCTGACTAGGGATGTTACATTGAATCAACTAATCGACTAGTCAATGGGTTTTCCATCGACTAGTCCATTAGTGAGTAAGTGAGGGAGCTGAAGCAGGGTTAGCTCCCAGCCCCAGGAGCTAACCCCACTGCGGCTCTGCCTTTCAATGTAGCAAGAGCCAACCAGCTCTTAATACACTGAAAAGGCTGAAGCACGGTGGGGGAACTCAGCGCGTGCCAGGTCAGCTGATTCCTGGCTTGTGCCAGGTTCCCCTGCTGCACTTCAGCCTTACATGTAAAAAGCAGGTGTCACCCCCCTGCTGCTCTTCTGATTTTTAAATGTATTAAGAGCCAGTAGGTACCTGTCTCCGGAGCCAGAGGTTGAGGGTTCAAGCCCTGCCCATAACCAATGTGGACCTGGCACCCTTGGAACAAAGGACAGATACAGGGGGGAGCCCAGAATGTAGAGAGGTTGGAGGCTCCTCCAGTGGCGCAGTAGATAAGGTACCTGCCTCCAGAGTCAGAGGTTCAAGCCCCACCCCCAGTAGGCTCCCAATACATCCAAAAGGCCAAAGTGCAGTGGGAGGGGGCTCTTAAGAGCCACTCCCAGTCCCCACCACCTCCCTGGAGACAGCAGAGGGGGACCACCCCTAGCACCAGCCCCTGCTCCCCACCCCCACTGCCTCTGACAGAGGCAGCAAGGGGGGGAAGCAACTAGTCACCTATATCCCTAGTTCTGATAGGTTAAGTGATGACCAAAAATCAAAGCAAAATAATCAGTAGCAGAGTTGAGAACTGAACCCAAAATTCTGGCTCAGGCCTACACTCCTCCAGCCAGGCCATTCTGGTCACACAAGACTGATCTGTCTTCTGCTGAGAGATTTTTAAACACCCCTCTCACCAGCTGTTTGATTATTAATTTACATGGTCTTCCATGGGAAGAAAGAACAGGGCTCTAACTCAGTGCCTAGGGGTTTGGTATCCAGGGTCCCTCAGCCTCCTTTGCTAACTGGTTTCATCTGGGTCAAGTTTGCATTTGCCAAAGATTTGAGATGCACTTATTCCACACGGTTCACTTGGCTTTAAAAGTAGCTGCGGAGTCTCGTGCGAATGCAGACTGAGTGCAAATACGATCCCAGGACCTGGCAAGCCTTAGCCCAGCAACACTGAGCCAGTTCTACTCACAAATATGACCATGATGACAAAGGCTGCCAGATACGAGGTCCTGGCCATCCACATGCTGACAAAGCGATAGTGCTCCCCCGACACCACGTTGCGGAGGAAGCCTGGAAGGAACAGAGCAGCCCCATCTGATTAAACGGTAACGGCAGGCGGAGCGGTCAGCACTGCTGCATTGGTCGTTCTCATTCGGCATCGGGCCAGAGAGTCTCTGTGGCCGTCACTTCGCTCTTCCTCGTATAATCTCCCCAGGCAGCCGGGGAACCGGTCTCGCTCCTAGTGAGTGCACTGGGGGGCCCCCCCTTCCCGCACCCACAGCGCCTGCTGCGACTCTTCCACCACAGAACGGTGCGCCCGGCCCCTTTACCTTTGTTCTCTTCGTTTTCGGCCAGCGCTTTCACGCTGGACATCAGAATGTCATCGTAACCCAGGAACTCGTCCAGCAGCAGGCGACTAAATCGGTCTCCAAAGCACTGGTCCCTGGTGGGATCTGCACAAAAGGTAACAGAGTCACTTGGTTTAACCAGAGGACAAGCCACAGCAGAAAACGCTCCCTGGGCCTGGATGTGAACAGTAGCACCAGAAGCGCTGCGGTGCAATGGGGGCAAGCAAACAGAGCTCGGTCCCCAGGCTTCGGCCAGCGGAGAGGCGCACGCGCCCCAGCGAGTCAGGTACTCGACTGCCTGCCCCTTTTAGCAGGACGCACGGCAGGACAGACATTACGGCAGCC